TATGAGAGTCGAAAAAGCAGGACTATGCAGTTTTAGGGCTATATGATTGGAAATATTCATGCTAAGTGAAAAAATTTACACTAAAATGATACGAAATGTGTAAACATTTTTCCAAATTGGAGAATTTTCTTGCGAGTAAAAAATCCTTTTAAGGCCATAAATTCGATAGGTTAGTTATTTTTGCTCACCCTAACGTACATCGTACAATATTTACTATTTACGGCCGGAAAGGGTTGTGCAACCCTTGCGCCTTGCCTCAACGGAGGCTTCTCTTGAATGGGTTGCAAAAAAAAATAAAACTTGTGAAATTTATTAAAAAAAAAAATATAATTAAATACATATCGCTCATTTACTTCAATAGTGCCATAACTCAAAAAACAAAACTCGGGAAAAACGGCTTTGAAGTTTTGAATTTACATATACTGCCATAGTAAAAGTGTAGTCGATGCATTTAAGAAATTTTTCCACAACCTAAACTGTATTTTTTGGATTAAGATGCTATTGAAAAATTGAGCGATATGTATTTACAAAAGACTAAGAAATCTATATGACGGCTGCGAAAATCGAGGCTTATACAAGAATTATTTATTGTCCCTTTCTCTTTCTTACTTATTACCTTTTTCTCTTTAGCTAGTTCAGCATATGTCTTAATATTCGTCATTTCAGAATGATTGTCACTTCGTAAGAAGTTGCTGCATGTTTCTGGAAGCAGTATTGTCTTCTATTGCGCTAGTTCGGAGATATCTATGTATCTATGTAAGTGTGTAGTTCGATCTGTTGTCAATTATGTACATTTGCATGTTTTTTTTGTGCCAAAAGTTGTAAGCTAAACGTACTAAATTACTTTCTCAAAATACTTTTCTCATTATGCTGTCTTCAGTAAACCTTCTGCTTCGTGTCACATTTCCCATCATCACTTTCGAATGCCCCACTAATGGCATGTAAATACATCTTCTAATGACACACGTAACTTATGTATGTAACTGATAATAGGCAAAGGAAACCCGGAAGTCGTCCGAAGTGTTAATGCCTGAACTTGGTAAACAAATACATATGTATGTACGTTAGGATGCCTCACCAAAAAGAGTAGAGTTTTTTTCACTGTAATTATAAAATTTATTATACACAATTTAAGACTTCCTCTAAAATATTTCAGAAAAATATAAAAAAATATCTCTCAAAATCTCATTATTTTAATTTCGTTGATTAATTTTTGTAGTACATTAGACTGCATGACTCCCCATACCAAAAAAAGAAAAAAAAATCGGTATTGTGTTTCCATTGGAATAATAAAATCTATTATATTTTAAGACGTTCACCAAAATATTACAGAAAAATATTAAGATTTACGTGAGCTGCACCGATTTGAAAATACCTCCAAAAATGGATTCTTTTTTATGAATAAAAATAGTTTCCCAAACATTTTTTTCGAAAAATTCCCCTCAAATGACAAAACATTTTAAGCTAAAAAAATTTGCATAAAAATATTTTTACAAAATGTTGAACGGAATCGTAATAAGAAACAATTTTTATTCATAAAAAAACTCCATTTTTGGAGGTATTTTCAAATCGGTCCAGCTCACGTAAATCTTAATATTTTTCCGAAATATTTTGGTGGACGTCTTAAAATATAATAAATTTTGTAAGTTTTAGTGGTGATGCAGTCTAATGAACATGCATTACATGTACAAATCTGTTACATACATATTTTTTTGATGGAAAACTTCAAAACACAGCTGGTTACTTAAAGAAAAGAAAGCAAAGGGAGAGGTATGTATAAGGCAGGGCATGTCACTGATGGCAAAATTGGCTGAGTATCTATTTATATTCCATTTCACTTCGTGATTTCATTATCTGCAGTTGGACACAAGGTGTCCCATTAGATCCGAAATCAACAAAGTGTGGCTATAATTTTTAACTAATTCTAATACAAAAATATTTGTATAGGCAATGTTACACGATTGGTACATTTGTACATTTTTTATATTGGGCTATGGGTACAAAATTAAAAAAATTGGGATGACGACTTTTTTGTAGTCACACGATTTTTACAATAGCGCGAAGTGCTACTGAAAAATTTCAAAAAATTGTTTTTCGTAATTGGGATAAAGAAAAATATTCGTGCATTCACACTATTGGGATACAATTTGCACGAAATTTTGGGCAAAATCTCAATCGTGTGACACTGCCTTATAAATAAAGTTAATAAGAATTTTACTTTACAAAAAATTAAATACCAACGATAATTTCCTCGGTGATTTCTCTTTTTCTAGAAACAATGTAATATTTTTCTCCTTCTACTATCGACCACGTTCAACCTTGCATACTTATAAAATTTTTTTTGTACAATTTTTTTTTGTACAATTTTTTTTTGTAAGTGTGATTGAGACACCCTTTATAATTTGCCACCAACTAAGTAAGAAGTCACAAAGTTTACAAGCCTCTTATGAATCTATACATAGAAGCGCAAACAAGCAAACTAAATTACATACATACCTTTTTTTTTGTTTCAAATTGCTTTTGGCCCCAACCATAGTAAGTTTGTAAGTAAGTAGATACCGGCCTGAATTCCAGGAAGTATTTACGCAGGAAAAAGGAAATTCAAGTAAAAGCTAAAATCGATAGCGGATGTGTGTAGGTGCTCACACTACGATTTGCGCACAGCAATGAACTGATGAAAACATGTGTCGATATGCAGAAGTAGTATCCCAGTGGGAATTAGGAGCACGTAATAATACCTTATTAGCAACTTACTCTTCACCTGGCAGTCATTAACATTTCCCTGCCGAACGTCCCTTACTTTTACAAAGGCATGGCCGCCTTATTTAAGTGGGAATTTAGAATGTACATCTGGTATCAGACATACTTCTGAGCCGCTTTACAAAGTAAGTTACGTGTAATGCAGAGCAGTCGCTCGGAGTAGTTCGGTGCTTGGAAATAACTTCGGCTGCACGTTATTTTGCAACTGACAACGTAATGTGTCTTCGGATGTGTTCATTTTGCCCTTTACTAGTAGACATGGCTTAACTCGCAAGGTGCTTACCTATTTTCCCAGTGGGATCTAGCATACTTACTTATGTATGAGTTTGTATGGATATATTATGTATGTACATAGGAGCGCAATGATAGATAATGTGTAAAAGTTAAAATAATGAGAAAAAGTAGAAATGTAAATGGAAGCGTTTAAGAGGTGTGAAAGGCGAGAAGCGGCCTGGAAACGGGATATATGGTAGCATACTAGTGCGCGAGGAAAGGGTGCGAGACAAAACTTTAGGATTAAAGGCCAAGCATATAAGACCTTCCAAGATTCCTGTCCTAACAAGCTGAGCAGGATGGAACAGCTACTAAAAAGAGGTAGACTATGACTAAGGCCAGTATTACATTTACTTTAGGATGATCGAAAAACACGGAAATTGCTGAGGCTCTGTAAACCGAGAATGAGGTCAAATGCTCTTAACCCGAAGAATGCGCTGCAGATTTATTTTACAAATGATTGCTTTAAAGTGAAATATATTATTTGCTACAATTTAATTTGCAGAAATTTTTAAATCTAATTTTTTCTAGAAATAATTATTTATTCTTCATGTCACTTAATTTTTAGAAACTTATTTTATTAATTTCTTATATTTTTTTCTTAATTTGATTTTCTTTTAATATTTCGATTTTATTGTTTAAAAACGAATTTATTTTTCTAGTTTCATTAATTTTCTAGGAGTCAGTTTATTTGTTTTGTAAAATTGTAGTTTACTTTTAATTTTTAGGTTTAATGTTTTGAAATGAATTTTTTTTTAAATTTATTCTTCGTTTTATTTTTAGTAAGTCATTTTCTTTTATGTCAATTATTTTCTTTCTTTTTTTAACTTAATTGTCTTTAAAATTTAGATTTTATTGTTTTGAAAAATAAAATATTTTTTTAAATCTTTTAATTTTTAGAAATTATTTTATTCTTTATTAAATTTTATTTTATCTTAATTACTATAATTTCTTTACATTTTTAGGAAATTTTCTCGTTTCCATCTGTTTATTAGATTTTATCTCTTTTTTAATTTAATTTTCTGTTATTTTTTAGACGAGAAACATATTTTTTAAATGTCTATTATTAAAATAATAAAAAATTGTTATTATTTATAATTTTAATTTAATTTACTTTAAATTTTTAGTTTTTACTGTTTTAAATAGAAAAAATATATTTTTAAAATTTAATTTCATTTTTACAAAACATTTTGCTAATAGGCAAACAGAATAAAGCTAAAGGCAATGTCACACGATTGGTACATTTGTACTGATTTGTACATTTTTATATTGGGCTATTTGCACCAAAAAAAAAAAAATAAAAAATTTGGTCGACAATAGATAGAAGCATGATAAAAATATAGTAAGGTAGAACCGCTGAGAGTCACTTTAAAAATTCTTGACGTTTCCAAACAATTTAATATTTAAATTTACTCACAAACTCACGCACACATTTTCATTTTCAATGTCAAGCAACAACAATTTCGAACAATTTAAATTTTTTATTTTCACTTTTATATGATTTTAAAATGTTGGCAAACTTCAAAAAAAAATCATGGCCGACAAATTGAGAGAACGGTTCTACCTTGCTATGTTTGTATCATGGATAGAAGTACTTGATTGAGATCTCCATCACCAGTGAGTATCACATGAACAATCAAATGACTACCACTGTTCTTGTAGGGTCTATAAGTTGCCTGCCTTAACAAATACTTCTAAGCTTAAATTTATAGGAAGGACATAAATGGGCTAAAAGTGTTTTCAAGCTTCATTTTAACTTGATTTATGTATTTTGGAACGAATTTCTGTCATGCCTTGTCAAACTTGGTTTGGAGACAAACCGGTGTTGGCATTGTGCCGCCCGAAAAGCTTAACATTAAGGTAACCCAACTTAGCACAAAATCTTTGCACATTTCACTTAAGAAAATCATCCCTCAACAAGTAGTCCCCCCTTTTTAAACTTTCTCTTTCTTCTGCACACACTCATTTTATTTCTCTCTATTAATCACATTGGCATACGAAGTGGAATTGCTATTCTCCATAACAGTCACACTTTCACGTAGCGTTGTCCTCGGCGTCAACCAGTCACGCGGTAGGATGCGTTGTAAAAATGGCACATAACCGCTAATGGTTGCCAATCGATTCACCCAGCCGGGTATTGCTTTGCCACAAAGAAATCGCGCCAAATAGTCACAGAAATGATTGCAATTATTATTGATCAAATGATATGAACTGCCAGTAAACTTCTGACCCAACTCTTCGACTATCTCATACACCTGCTGACATGTGAATTGGGTGCATCCGAGATTGACGGTCTGGCGAAATTGAAAATTCGTACCCAAATCCGCATGGTCACGTGGCAACATTTCAAAGATACCCGTAAATGGAAATTGATGGCCGCCATAGGCGAATTCAGTGCCATAGAGTTCGACGCCGGAATGAAAGGCGCCAAGTCCAATATAAGCGGAGTACTCATTGATTTTGAGTATGTCATAGACATTCAACTTGACGGGTTCGCAGAAAGTGCCCAGTCGGGCATGCACACAATTACGTGGTTGTGGCTTCGTTGACTGTGTCGAGGTGGTGGTGGTGGTCGTTGCTGTTTCTGTTGTCGTTATTGCTGTAGCCGCTGCTGTTGATTCATTATAGCGTGCTCTCGTAAAGGGCGTATCAAAGCAGCTGCCGAAATTGAATTTGCTAAATAGCGGTTTATTCGAATGCATTTGTTCGATTGAAGATCTCAAAAATTTATTTCATAATAAAAAATAAAATTTAAAATGATATGAAAATACAAACTGCTGATTTTGAACTGAAGTTTGGCAATTGTGACAGTTGCAGGCGTAGAAAGAAAGAGGAGAAGAAGGTAGTAGAATTTTAAAGAGTGATGCAAAAAGCATGAACATTTTTTTTTTTTTTAATTTTAAAACTTAATTAGAACAAAAATTTTGTATTATCGATTTTTTTTTCGCAAGTAACATAACCTGCATTTTTAAATACTTATTCATCTAAACATTTGTAAAAAAAAATTAGTTTATGTTTAAAATTTTAAAGAAAATAATAAACACAAATAAAAGTTAGTTATTAGGGTGTTCGATTATTCGCCTTCCTTCGAAAGCCATTTATCGAGTTATTTGAAAAATAGCCATTTGAATAAAGCTGACTTACATTTTTTTTTTTAGTTTACGTATTTTCTCTACAGTATCCAACACTTACTGTTAGTTCGAAATCATGACCAAATTTAAAATATGACTGTTAAATAGGTATAGCTTTAATTAAGAAATCGGTAAGGCAAAATAAGTTCGAAGTATTTCGGATTACAAATACTTAAAAGCAAGAAAAATTGTGAAAAATTCACACCTACTGATCTTGACAATATTTCATGTTTTGGCGGGGAAAACTCGAGAATGTAGAGTCGACTGTCTGCACCATCCGCTGAACTAGGCTGACCGTACAAATATGGTCTCTTATAGACAGGCCATTCATCGAGAATCAGTCAACACCTTCGTCAACTCTCAAAAATCAAGTTACTAATGAAGAAAATCGATGGATAAATAAAGAAGTAATGAGTGGTCAAATGAAAATGCGCAAAGATTTTTTGTATGAAATATGAGCATAAAAGAGTGCTACTTAGGTGTACATGGCGTATGAGAAACATTACATTTTCAACAAAATAAAACTGGAATATCATTCAGTCTTATCGGAAAGTGATGTATAGATGGTTTAAGGAAAATTTTTTTAGCTTTCATTTGTTGTATTCCATTTTCAGTTTGTTGAATTGCTGCATGACATGTATGACGGTAAAATGAAAATGTTTTGAAAACGTATCCATAGAATAGAAAATCAACCCGAGTTTGTGAATCATCGGGCCATTCTACATACAATTTGGATACTGGCGTCTCACAGTGTATCATTTCAGTATTCTAGAAAAGATTAATTCCATTATTTTATGTCGCCAAATTTGAAAACAACGTCAAGAATGTTTTCAGAAATGCCTGATAAAGACGAAACAATAACAACTAAAAAATTTTAATCAAAGTGTATGGCGGGACGGGGTTTGGTTTGGAAAATTACCGAGCACAATAATATTTAAACTTGTATATTTGAAACTGAATCTCAATGCTTATTTTGTCGGTGTTATGTGATTTATGCAACAATTACTAAAATACCATTTTGGTCTTATTTGCTTGGGTATGTTCTTTTTAATGAATATACATTTTTGGGATTTTAGTAAACTAGGACTGAGTATTTCATGTTAAAGCAAAACGATGTTAACTTAAACTTATTTTTAGCAATTTATTAATTTCATTAGACCCGCAAACTCGTTATCCGCCACTATTCGATAAAGTTTGTATCTCAGTTTATTTGCCACTCCTCTTAGACTCTAAAAAACATAATTTTAGCTGCAGGAAAGTGCAGGTTTTGATGAAATTTTCTTTTTTCTGGCCTACTGGGAATTTCATTTTCCTCGAGTAATTCGCTTGCATTTTATCTCGACCGAGACAAATTCTTATATATTCGTTTTCAACAGAGAAAACCTGATTCATTACCTTTCCAATGGTATCCCATTTCTGTAAATAGAGTAAGAAATATTGAACTTATAACGGAATTTCTTTGACCCAACTTGACTTTTTTATCGATATTTTCCACGCCCATAACTAAAAAAAAAATATATTTATTTTTAAGTCCATTTCTGTCAGTTTATAATTCCTTGTTATAGGGAAATTCTAAATATCAATTTTGGGCATTTTAGCCTTTGTAGTTAGTTAAATATTTCAGTTTTTGCATTTTTAAAAATTGCAGTTATATAATAGGGTGGCATGACAGTAACTATAAATTACCAATTTTTTGTAAAAAGCTTCGCCTATCTTATAACGTACCTTGTGCATTATCATTAATCTATCTTCAATAGATTTCGAATTACAGAATTAAAAGCAGCTAGATGGATCAAATCTTACACTGTGCGTCTGGAGAACAGAAACCAAATTAAAATTTGTAATCCAGTGTCAGTAATTATTAATGGGTAGCCAATAGAAAGTAGTCTTTAGTCACTAGCCATGATTCAATAATACAAGGTTAGATAATTATTGACAGCTGCGGTTTGACACTCCCTTACAAAAGGTTGCATTTACGAAGGACGGAGACGGAGAAAAGGGGAGGAATGAAATCTCTTGGTGCGAAAATGGTAGTAGAAAAGTACGCAAAGTAGGCAATTAGTAGTGAAATTCCTTTTGTAAATTCTAATGTATTTGCAGGAAATCTGGCATTTTAAATGAAATGTTGAACGTAATATTGATGTATCTATGTGAATTACGTAATTTATGTGCTATTTAGCTGTATAAAAACTGCAAAATGGCTCATAATTAAAATAAGACTACTGTGAGATTGATGTAAACATCCAATTTAAAAACAGTTTATGTTTTCACCAGTTAAATATGCTTCATATGCATATACAAATAAACATATTGCATAAACGCTCATACTTCTATTTCACACCAAAGCTACTCTGTATCAGAAGCAACACGGTGCCACAGCTAAGGGAGCGGTGCGAGAGAGACAACTGTCAGTTTATCGACCCTTGTATTATTGAGTCATGGTCACTAGCTACTAGTCAGTAGTAATTTTTATCTAGTCTTCAGTGTCTAGTAATTATTCATGCCTTGTCAAATTTTAAAGACTGGCAATAATATAGCAGTTTTCGATTTTAAAAATACACAGCAATCATTTAACCTCACACCCGTGCAGTGCACTGCAACCACTCTGTAGCATACACACAGTATGTATTTAGGTAGCACATACAATATATTGATATCAACTCACAGTTTATATACATACATGCGCACATACCCACATGTACACTAGACCGGGTCGGTCTACATACGACAGAAAAAAAACTGCAATTACCCCACAAGTTTGATGGCTTACCTTGAGAGATTTTTAGGGTCAAAAAAATTTTCGTCCTTCGGGAGCCATTAAATTGCAAAAATCGAGTTTTCTTCATAACTCTTTTATTTATTTTTAGAACTCACGAAGGACGAAAATTTTTATGATCCAAAAATCATCTCAAAGGAAGCTTTCAAACTAGGAATGGTAATTGGAAACTTTTTTTCGCGACCCAATCTAATGAACATATGTATATACATACATACATATACCTATATGTATAAATATATATTTAAAGCTCGACAATTATACTCACTATCGATTTTACAATTAACCGAATTGCTGCTTTTCTTTGATGAGTTGCGTGACATCTGCGAGTGATTCGCTTGCGAATGTGATGGACTCGAATCGACGGAACGACGCGCCGCAGCGCTGCTTTGGAATATCGATGGGCCGCTGGCAAGTGGACTGGGCGTAACAGTGACCATGGGATGTACGCTACCTGAAAAAAATGAAGCAGAAAGAGAGCAAATATTAGGGCTATTCGCGATTCGGTGCATAAGAGCTGACAAATTTATGCAATTGCAGAAATATGCCATGGATTGTGAGCGACCTTTATTAAACTGTCATGGTAAAGCTTTTGCAAAACAATTTTTGTGCATCAGCTTTGGTTTTGTTTATGAATGCAATGCATAGCATTTTTATGCTATGGATTTTCGGTATTGCAAATTTGCCAAGCAATGACAAATGCAAATGCGTGTATTTTGTTTGTGTATTGCAAATTATTTGCAATACAAATTTGCAATGCAATGATGCTAGGCCATTTGCACCGGATCGCGAATAGCCCTATTAATTTGCAATAAACTCGATTTTATATGCATGTGTATACATGCATACATGTATGTATGCACATTAGACCGAGTCAAAAAAAAAATATGTCTTTTTGCAATTCGACCGGAATGAGACTCAAATTTTTGGCATTTGGTAATGATCCCCCACGAACTAAAAAAAAAATTTTGGTATATACTAAATTTAAGAATTAAAGAATTTGAGCCTGCATAATACTTAAATGGTATGTATTCTTATAGTTTCGAGCGTTTTCATTGCTCCTACGAAATTATATTGACCTGAAAATGAAAGAACTAATTTTCCTCGCGGGACCTTTTACAATTATTCTAGAGAGGGGAGATTCCTGGGGGATCATTACTATACCGAATGCTTAAATTTGAGTCTTATTCCG